ATGCATAGGTGAGCTCAAGGTTGGATTACTGCATTGTGAGGACTACCTTTGGGCTTGATTCAGAGGCTGCACCTGGTGTGTGGCTAACAATCTGCTACTCGGCCAAGTCCAAGGTGTTTGTACTAAAGTATAAGTTAATTAGCTACTTGAGAAACCGCCTTAGCCCTTATATACCTTGTAGATCATTGCAGTTTGTGGGAGATTTTCTGATGCAAATTCCGATGATCTCAGAAGCCCGCTCCACAATAACTCGGAAAAAGACTTTCATTGTCGCTGCCCCGTTCTGTGGAATAGCATTCCTGTCAAGATATGACAGGTACCCACTATCTGTGCTTTCCAGGGACTAAATGAAGATATTTTTCTTCTGATGGGCTTTCTTAGCTGAATAAATGGGTCTCTGCTACAAGTGTATATTCTGTAGTGTTTTGTTTTAAATGTATCATCTGTTTTGTGTGTGTGTGTGTTTGTAACTTTTCTTTGCTGTTTTTATTGCCTTGAGATGATTTTGTAGAAGGCGATTAGTAAATTGTGATTGTTAAGAATATAAAGATGGTAGCAAGTAAATATTTCTTGCAACCATCAGGACACATGGCGTTTTGCAGAGTAGAAGACAGGCCTTTGCCCAGACAAACCTGCAGCCTGAAATTTGACACAGGGAAAATGGAGAGGAGGGGTAAATGAAGAATATGTGATGGTTTCCTTTTAACATGTGCTTAGGATGAGTTGGGGAAGGGCCATAGCTCTATGGTACAGTATCTGCTCTGCATGCAGAATGTCCCAATTTCAATCCCTGGCATCTCCAGGTAGGGTTGAGAAAAACCACTGCTTGAAACCTAGATAGGCACTGCCAGACATAGAATCATAGAGTTGGATGCCCCCCCCCCGCCCCAGCATCACCTAGTCCAACCCGTTGGAATGCAGGAATCTCAGCTAAAGCATCCATGACAGATGGCCATCCAACCTCTGCTTCAAAACCTCCAGGGAAGGAGAGACCTCAAGCTCCAGTCAATGTAATACTGAGGTTGATGAATCAATATTCTGATTCAGTATAAGGCAGTTTCCAGTGTTGTAATGAGCTGCAGATGGGAATGTGGGGATTCAACCAAAGGTGTCATGGAAAAGTGGGTTTTGACTATGGATGTGAAGGAAGAGGTGGCATCAAGCAGCTGTCTTGGGAGCCAGTTTCATGTGTTGGGTGGGTAGTTGTGGAGAGAGTGGATTTTGGGGGACATTAAAACATCTGAGGATGATGGAGCTTGGAGGAAAGAATGTAATAGGCAGGGATATATCTGGGTGTGGGTGGGAAGTGAAGTGGGGAGCAAAGCAAAGGCAGTCTTTGAAAGTAATAACAATGGCTCTGCTGGAGCTGGGAGTGAGCAGGAACCTATTGTAGGGAATTAAGGAAGCCTGCAGGGGGCAGGTAAGCCATGCCTCACATAATTGATCAGAAGTCACGTACACCATTGAAATGGCAATGCCCATCAACCTGCAGAGGGGCATCAAATATTTTACTGAGGGGGTCAAAAGGACCTTGGCTCCTAGGAGTTGGCTCCTATAAGGAAGAGCGTCATGTGGCCAGACTTAGGCTATTATTTTGGCAAAGTGCAGGATATACATGAGGCGACCAAGCTGAGACAAACAGAGGAGAAGATTGGTCATCGCCCAGCTAGACCTGCAATCAAAAGAACTTAAGAGGCATGCTGCATCAGGCCAAAGATCCATATAGCCAAGCGTCTTCACATTGGCCAACCCAATGCCTTACAGGAAGCCTATAGTCTAAACCAGGCATGGCCAAACTTGGCCCTCCACCTGTTTTGGGACTACAACTCCCATCATCCCTAGCTAACAGGACCAGTGGTCAGGGATGATGGAAATTGTAGTCCCAAAACAGCTGGAGGGCCAAGTTTGGCCATGTCTGGTCTAAAGGGTCTATCTGATTCTGCCTCGGCTACATTCTTCCATGAGGTAGTACAGCTGTGAAGAGTTTTATTGAGTGCTCGATGATCTATCTATGAATTTGATGCACAGTTTTGGTGATTTTCCTTTAGGGACTCTGCTGGCCAGTTGTGCCCTTTAATTATAATATATTTACAACGATAGATTCCCTTCCCAACCCCCAACCCCAAAAACCCATGTTGCTAAACCAAATTCAGCCTCAGAATTAATGTACTTTTTTTCTCACATAAAGTATTAGAAACCAGTAATGCAGAATAAAATGGGATTTTGGGGGTGGGGGAGAAAGATTATATTCTTTATGACAGCTCCTGCTGGAGGAAAATTTATATAATTCCCAATATCTTAGTAATCAAAAGAACACTTCTAGTACAGCGCTCGGACAGTGAGGCATGGTAAAATTCTTAATTACTTGGGGAATTACTTTAGTAGCGACATCAAATGAAAACAAGATAAGCTTATTAATGAATTCCTACCAAAGAGCTACTGAACTAAAGATGAAATAGCATAAAATAGGAGGAAGCGATCATTTTATGTAACTGGTTTATGGGTGTGCAGTGAAGTGTTTAGCGAAGATTAAGTACTGGAGGGTTTATATCATTAAACTAAAAAAAATATGATCTCGCTTCTCTTGCAGAGGCAATATGCCTGCAAACCTGGACTCACTTTGGATTCAAAGTTTAGAATTCTGATCAATTTCTAGACCTGAATATGTTCAGAACCTACTTCTGGCTGTCCAGGTGAATGAGACAAGGTCAGGGGTAAAAATGGAGACAATGGGGGCCAGGCCACCACATGCATTATGTCAACTTGATTTCAAAGAATGCTTGCATAAGGCTTATGAATCATAAGAGCATAAGAAGAGCCTGCTGGATCAGGCCAATAGTCCATCTACAGCATCTCATAGTGGCCAAGAACATGCTTATGGGCAGCCTGAAAGCAGGACCTTACCACCACATCACTTGTGGTTCCTAGCGACCATATTCAGTCTGTCTACACTGACTGGCAGCAGTTGTCCTGGATTTAAGGTGGGGGGGCGGAACGACACTCCAGCCCTACCTAGAGAGGTCACTGATTGAACCTGGGACCTGATCCTGTCCCACTGAGCTACAGCAAAACATTATATATATACACATTATATATATATATATAATTTTATTAGTTTTTTAACATATCATTTTCAACAGTAATTAAACATACTTTTACATCTTATTCAATTTTTTTGACTTCCAGCAATCCTGTCTGAAAATTTTCCAATCTAATCTCTCAGTATGCATTTCTTATCTTCCCTATTATATTTCATTTTTTAAAAAAATATTTTTATTAAGTTTTCTTTCAAACAGTCAGAAATTTACAGAATAAAGAATGAAGATACAAGAAAAAAGAAATACATAAAAGCCAACTTTCCAGAATATTTTTGCCATTCCAACCGGACTTCCCCACATCTTCCGAACCCTGCGTTCTTTGCAATTAAAACATCAGCAATTTGTTACCTTATTTCATATCTTACTGTATCTTTCATGTACTATGTTTCTAAGTTCAAAATACTGTATCTCCGTTATTTGTACCTTAAAAATAAACATAGTATAGTTATTTCATGTTGTCCACCTCGTCTTTCTTATCACTTAGTTTCCAATTCACCTATTCAAGTTGCTGAAGCAAAAGTTTCCTAATCGTACACATTCTTAACATTCATACAACTTATATTGTTTTTGCAAATAGTCCTTAAATTTTTTCCAGTCCTCCTCCATTATTTCCTCTCCCAAATCTCGGATTCTGCCAGTCATTTCAGCCAGTTCCATGTAGTCCATCAACTGCGTCTGCCATTCCTCCAGCGTGGGTAAATCTGGTGTCTTCCAATACTTTGCGATGAGGATTCTTGCTGCTGTAGTAGCATACATAAACAGAGATCTATCCTTCTTTGACACCTTCTGGTCCACCATGCCCAGGAGGAAGGCCTCTGGTTTCTTGGGAAAGGTATATCTAAATACCTTTTTTAACTCATTGTAAATCACTTCCCAGAAGGCCTTCACTTTTGGGCAGGTCCACCAGAGATGAAAGAATGTCCCTTCCGCCTCTTTACATTTCCAACATTTGTTATCAGACAGGTGATATATCTTAGCCAGCTTAACTGGAGTCATGTACCACCGGTATATCATTTTCATAATATTTTCCTTCAAGGCATTACATGCCGTGAACTTCATTCCGGTGTTCCATAACCTTTCCCAGTCCTCAAACATAATGTTGTGCCCAATGTCCTGTGCCCACTTTATCATGGCGGATTTTACTGTCTCATCCTGTGTGTTCCATTTAAGCAGCAGTATTATATTATATTTCAAACTCATAACCAATATCTCTATCTTTTTCTACTTTGTAACACTTCGTATATTTCTCCTTACAAAACTTATTGTAGTCCTACTAGTGTAATTTGTTGATTACAGTTGCTCTTCAAGTAATTCATATACTTCTTCCAATCTTCTGTAAATCTCTGGTCCCGCAGGTTTCGAATCCTTCCTGTCATTTTGTCCAATTCTGCATAGTCCATTAATTTTGTCTGCCATTCTTCTTTCGTCGGAATTTCTTCTTGTTTCCATTTCTGGGCTAACAATACTCTTGCTGCAGTTGTTGCATATAAAAACAATTTGACGTCTTGCCTATTAATGTCCTGACCTATAATACCAAGCAAAAATGCTTCTGGCTTTTTAAAAAATGTATATTTCAAAATCTCTTTCATCTCAAGGCCTCACACTTTATAGGGTCTGGAAGCGGAAGAGGGAAAACAGAAGATGACAGGGAAAACTTTTCCAAATCAACTGTCCCATCAGCTTTATAAATTTCCGAAGAAGCCAATGGATCAAATATCCCGGGGAGGAAATTGCCCTTCTCCTGAGGCAGCACTTTATTATTTTGTTTTAAGAGTTCAGTCGCACACAACGCCATTGTTTTTCTTGCCTGAGCCTACCGATCACGGCTATTGAGCCTACCGATCACGGCTATTGTGCGTCGGTATGTGAAGTGCCTGGTGCAACAGGAAGCCCTGGAAATGGGTGTGTGTGTGTGTTGTCAACAGCGCCGTTTGGCACAGGATGTTGGACTTCTTGGATCAGCTGCCAAGCCTCGGGAAGCGGACTCTCCCCGCCCGCTGCCCTTTTGTGGGGACACAGGGAGGGCAGGCTGCGGCCTTGGCGCGGGCGCCGCCTATGCGAAAGTGTCCCTTGAGCGCCACCTGTTACTTCTCTCCCGCCGGCCCCGCGCGCGGATCTCCTGCTGCGCGCTCGGCTGAGGGAAAGGGAGCAAAGGTGCCTCAGGCTCTTCGTCTGCGCATTCTCCGCGGGGCCACCTGCGGGCGCCATGACCGTCGGGGGGACCCGGAGAGCCAACTACCCCCGGCGGGGGCCTGCGGAGGACGAAATCTCTATCCTGGAAAAGGACGAGGAAGAAGAGGAGGAGGAGGAGGAGGAGAGGAGGCAGACAGCCCCAAGCGGCCCCGCTGAGGAGGGGGAGTCCGGCTGCGCCTCCAAGAAAGTCGCCTTCGCCGTCCTCCCGGACAAGTACGAGCCTCTCGGCGGCGCGGGAGACGAGCAGCAGCCCAAAGCCGAGCGCAAGAGCAAGAAGCGCAGGAGGAAGCTCAAGAAATACGGCAAGGTAGGCGGCGAGGGCGGCGGGACCAGGGGCGCCTCAGCCGCTTCGGGCGCCCCGAGGCCCTGCGCGCTCGGCGGATCATCGCGCGCAGGTCCGTTATTCGGGGGTCGCTAGGCGAGTGTCTCAGCGCCCCGGCTATCGGATAGGATGAGGGAAGACTTCAGTCATATATAATAAAACAAATACAGTGGTACTTCGGGTTATGTACTTAATTACCGTAGTTCCGTTCTTAACCTGAAACTGCTCTTAACCTGAAGACCACTTTAGCTAATGGGGCCTCCTGCTGCCGCCGCACCTCCGGAGCACAATTTCTGTTCTCATCCTGAAGCAAAGTTCTTAACCCGAGGTACTATATCTGGGTTAGCTGAGTCTGTAACCTGAAGCGTATGTAACCCGAGGTACCACTGTATTTAAAAAGAGCTGGGGGACTTCTGGACGCCTCGGATTGTTGAACTGGCTTCACCACACTTCGCTAGCACCTTGTTGTCAGAGTGGTAAAAAACTGGATCTCACCCAGCCGCGACATAGGCACCTTGAGTTATGTTGTGGGAATGTGGGATACAGTGGTACCTCAGGTTACAGACGCTTCAGGTTACAGGCTCCGCTAACCCAGAAATAGTACCTCGGGTTAAGAACTTTGCTTCAGGATGAGAACAGAAATTGTGCTCCAGTGGCGCGGCAGCAGCAGGAGGCCCTATTAGCTAAAGTGGTACCTCAGGTTAAGAACAGTTTCAGGTTAAGAACGGACCTCCGGAAGGAATTAAGTTCTTAACCCGAGGGACCTCTGTATTTGGTCTGAGTGGTGTGCAAGCAGAGCTGACCCATCCAGGAGGCTGGCTAAGTGAGGCAACCGCCTCAGGCACAGGAGGCAGCTCCTAGGGGTGGAGGTCCCTTGTCCCCCCAAAAATATTTGAGGGTGCCAGGGCCCCCTAAGTTGATGGACATTGCCATTCACATGGTGTGCATATGCCATGTCATGTGATCAATTATATGGGGCCGGACTTACCTGGTCTCCCCCTATATTTTATTCAAGTTGGTACCCCTGGCCTCAGGTGGCAGGATCAACGGGGGCAGCAGATCCTGACCTAGATCTCTATTCCTCCTTTGTTCCTGATGCAGATCTTCACTCACTCCTTCTTCCCAGGTGGGCTTGGGTGTGAAAGCCCTTGTTTTTAGGGGCTAACCAGGCTGGGATAGCAGGCTTGTGGGTTTTTGAGTGTCTGATGTAGATATTTTTCAATTTCGTTGTTCTATATGGGACAATGACAGTAAAGAATGTTGTATCATATCGTATCATATCGTTTTCCTCAGGTGCCAAAATGTCTTGGACTGGCCTTGTGCACAAGGGTATATGCTTAACCGTTCTGTTCAGATGACTCCTAGAGAACATGTAGAGGGTCTAGGATGGTGCTCAGTTCAGTTCTCTCAGCATTCATAAGGTCTTCTGTACAGTGATCCAAGACCGCCCTTTCTCGCTTTCAGCAGTCATAGCAAACAGACCCAGTTGTTGACAACCTTGTGTGCATGTTCATTGCAAGTCTGAAGCCTCCTGCTTTTGAAGGACTGTAGGATGTTGAAGCTGGACGGGATCTTGGAGGTCATCTAGTTTGCTCAGTTCAGGGATTTGGGCATAGCTGTCAACTTTCAGATTTGAAAATAAGGGATCAGCAGCCTCACCTGTCCCTGGGACAGTCTACGGGATATCTAACAATCCGGGATAGCAGCCGGAAATGGCGCTGGAATAAGGGAATTTTCCCGCAAAAAAGGGAAGGCTGACAGCTATGGATTTGGGGAAGAATCATTCAAGAAACCACATGGTCAGAGTGGGGCTTTCCAGAGACAAAAAGGGATCTGGGTGGGTGTTGTTGTCTATTGCTCTAATTTGGAAAGAATCTTGTAGCAGCTGTGGAACACTGGTTTTATATGGTTTTATAAAAGGAAATAAAAGAATGGACCATGAAGAGACTTTTTGTGTTAAAATGCACACACAGAGAGGCCAGGTGTTTATTTGTGGCTAAAAGATATCCCAAACCCATATTAAGTCATGCAAAATAACAGCCACTCTCTACATTCGCTATCATAAAGTGAAGTGGAATTTCTTCAACAGCCAGCCTGTGCAAATAAAAAAATATTTTGACCTGAAGTCAAAAAGACAATAATGAAGGTGGTCAGAGGAGGGCATTTCATAAACTATGTACCTCAGTGGAAAAGACCATCTTTTCTATTATACTTCCATGAATGGAGGAGGGTCTCTGATGCTAATCTAAGAGCAAGGTCACGAGTGAGAGGGGGTTCTTAAGGTACTTTGTTGCTCTTCAGTTGCTATTGGATTCCAACTCTCATCAGCCCCAGCATGGCCAGTGGTCAGGGATGAAAGCAGTTGTAACTGAACCATATCAGCAGAGCCACAGGTTCCCTACCCATCTCTTAGGGCTTTGTAAGTTAAAACCAGCACTCCACAGTGGAGTTGGATGAGGACTAAGTTAAGAATCCCATAATGGTTAAAAGTATTGAAAGAGGCAAATCTTCATCCATATATAGATTTCACCCGCGTTGTATACAAAAATACAAATATCCATTCAATATTAAACCAAATAATAAAAACTGAGGCAAAAAACAACAAAAACAAAAACATATGAAGAAATAAACCAGAAACTTATTCAACTGGCAAAAACACTATGGTAGATTTTCAATGGCTTGGCAGATAAAATAACTGCTCTATTTTGCACACTTCCTTTCAGGATGAAAAAGAAAACCTGCAAAGTATACATGCTGTGGAAATTATTGAATCAAGTGCAACTCTATAAAATTGCCTTTGGCAAGTCACTGTGACGAGACTTCGTTACAAATCTGAATTGGGTGGTTGTAGGTACAAAAGAGATAATAAAAAATGCAATGGTGTAGCAATTGTGTATCAATGAAAGATAGCCATGATTTCTCTTTGTTGGTGCTCCACTGAAAATCTGCCATGATGTATGACACAGTGGCATCCTGCATAAGAGCTGTTTTCAATGTTCTCTAAAAATGTGGATTTATTAATTTTTTATTAAAAAAATCATTTAGCTTATTTCATTTCAGGTTTTGATCATTAAAAGCTTAGCTCCTTACTTTTCAGATACCTGATTAATAAAGCTGAATTCTTGTCCTAATAATTAATAACAGTTAATTTTGTTATAATTAATGCAGCAGCTGGTCTTAGATAGTTGACAGCAACACTATTTAAAATGGTCATGGGGGGCGGGGAATCTCTTTAAAGAAGAAAAGGGTCTAATAAATGCCTAAACCAAAATTCTTATGATAATAAAATTAATAGTAGTAATTTGATTCCTTACTTGCCCTTCATCAAATGGTCCCAGTGTGGGTTACAACAATATAAAAACACAATATTAAAATCCGTTAAAACAAATTACAATAAAAATAATAGGGTGGATCCTATATATGCATGTGTGCATCAGGTGACAAAGTGGCAGGAGACAATAATGTTCATTTTCCTTGTAACTGTGCTATCCTGAATGCAATCAGTTGTTTGAATTTGTACACTGAAAGTTTATTGTTTTGAATTCCATTTTATTTTAGTTATTTAGAAAATTTTGTATCACTTCCTTCACTAAAAAGCAAACTCAAGTAGGGTCACATTCAGATAAAAACAATGCAAAACTAGTCAATAAAACTATCTCAAGCCTGAATAGTAATATTTATTTATTTAATTAATTATAAAATATGTTCGCCTATTGTCAAAACCTCTAATTGGTTTACTTCCTTTTGGAGGAAGGGCGTGATTAGATAATTATGTTATAATTATCAATAAAAGCAGAAGTTAAAGACAAGCTGGCCTAAACAATCAAAGTATACATAAAATCAGTGGTTTGAAGTATACCTTTAAAAAAAGCCTATTAAAATGCATGACAACTTTACATATGTGGGTGGGATTGCCTAAGCAACAAATAATTCAGCAGGCAGTAAAAAACAATACAATGAAGGCACCTGCCCAATATCAATGGGTAAGGAGTTTAAAAATGTAAGTGCTGCTGAAAATTCAGTTTCCTACCAGTGCAGGACAAATATTTTGTGGTACTTGTAAAAGCGCTAGTTCCTCAAAGTGGTTGAATGGGCATATATGGGGTAAGGGGATCCCTCAAGTAAGCTCATTCTGTATCTGTACCAGGTGGCTCAATATCTCAAAACCCTTCTGATTAATTTGTTCAGCTGGTGCCAATAGTTGAACCATGTTGATGCCAATCATGTCTCGAGGGAAGAACATGTCACATTCAAGGCGCCATCACCATGAAGGCCCTGTCTCAAGCTAAAGCACCTAAGGTTTTGCTTAGTGATGAGTGAGGGACTTCTGACAATCTAAATGCCAGCAGGCAAGGAGGGCTCTTAGATAACTGGCCTAACCATTAGGAAGCATTCAAACTTGATTGCTTGTAGGTGTAGGTGCACTTCCTTCAGAAGCGGCTTGCAGATTTCACACGGAAGCATTTTGCACCAGCTGCTGCCTCAAACCACCAAAGCACATTGAGTGCATTGCTGTATCTAGGGAGTACCAGAGCATGTTACTTTGTTTAGGATAGTGCTGATGTCTTAATGCCCTAGAGCACACCAGTCCCTGGTTTGCTTGTTGTGACCACAGCTTCAGCTTTGCCACCTTCAAGTGAGTCTCCTGCTGCACATTCTCCTATGCTGCCCAGTATGGGTGAAATTTTCTCCTTGCTCCCCGACCATGTACATGGTGCCCCCCTCTCTCTCCCTCCCTCCCCTCTCTCTGTTGTCTGTCTGTCTGCCCCACCCCTTCAACACCCTCCTCAAAATCCAAGTCTTTCTACAAGGCTTAAAAACCTCTTAATCCATCTCCCTGTAGCAAAGTATTACGTGCGTAAACCTGCTTTTGCTCACACAAAAGCGCTAAACGGCCTTGGCCCAGTATACCTGAAGAAGCATCTCCACCCTCATCGTTCTGCCCGGACACTGAGGTCCGGTGCCAAGGGCCTTCTGGCGATTCC